TGTCACGGGATGACTTTTTCGGAGTCTTCCTTCCGTGCGGCCTTAGACTTGATCGCCTCTCGAACAAGCTAAGTCAGCCTCCTTCCTACAATACAAGATCGAACCAATCAAAGAACAATCGCAAGAGCAAGAACAATAAGAATGCTCAACCCAATGTGTCATCCCCCTTATATACTATCCCTATCCCACCTACCACCACAGTAGGTGGGTAAGATACAATGTCACCTACCAACATCTACCAACTACTGTCACCAACTGTAGTCTACCAACTACTATACAACGAATCTGGACATGTGGGCTAAGAGGTCTAGCATGATCAATCCAACGGGTTGGGCCTTGAACATGCGGGCCGTGACACTATGTAGGATTATAGTCGTCTTAATTTGTTTTCTAAGTATTTTTCGTATGATATTCACAAAGTCCCATGCATTTATTTCAATTACAAGTTATTGTCACATATTGAGTGCAGCAGAACTATCATTTAGTTAGCTTCAAATGGTTTCACGCAATATCATTTAAAAGACAAAATGCTTATAAGAACCGAACCGAAGGCATTCAGGAGCATAAGCCCAGGAGGAAAAGCCCAGGAGGAAGAGCCAAAGCTTCAGAAGCTTTTGGTTTTGGGAGAAGAGAATTTGAATGTCAGGAACCATCATTGGCAAGTTCAACCCTTTACATGGCGGTGACATCATCCTCTCTCTGTTTCACAAGCACACGACCTTTGGCCATTTGAAGCAAATCTACTCCCTCCTCATCACCTTTGGCCTCTCACAAAACCCTTTCTTCCTCGCCAAGCTTGTTACTTCCACTGCAGCCTCTCAACCTAGCCATCTTGCCTACGCTTCGCTGCTCTTCGACGGGGTAGAAGCACCCACCACTCAGTTATGGAATTCCATAATCAGATCATTCTCTACGAGTTCAGAACCTCGCAGGTCCCTCATTTTCTATTAAAAAATGCGCACAAATGGTATTGCTCCCGACAAGCACACCTTCCCTTTGCTTCTCAAGGGCTTTTCCAAGTTGGAAAACGAAAACCCATTTCAGTTTTACGCTCATATAGTCAAGTTTGGATTGAATTTTGACCAATTTGTGAGGAATTCATTGATATCTGCATTTTCTGGTTGCGGGTACTTAGAGTCTGCCAACCAGGTGTTTGATGAAAGTACGCACAAGGATGTGGTTGCTTGGACTGCATTTATTGACGGGTATGTGAAAAACGGTCGTGCCCTGGAAGCAATCAAGTGTTTTTTGGAGATGAGATTGATGGGAATTAGGGTCGATGAGGTGACAGTTGTTAGTGTTCTTTGTGCTGCCGGAATGGCTGGTGATATTTGGTTTGGACGGTGTGTTCACGGGTTCTATGTGGAAGCAGGTAGAGTACAATGGGATGCCTATGTTGGTAGCGCTCTTCTGGATATGTACATGAAGTGCGGCTACCATGAAGATGCTTGTAAAGTTTTTAATGAAATGCCAGTTAAAAATGTAGTTTGTTGGAGTGCCTTGATCGCAGGTTTTACACAATGTAGCAAATATAAAGATGCATTGCTTGCCTTGAAATATATGCTTTCAGAGAGTATCAGACCTAACCAATCTACATTCACGAGTGTCCTTACTTCTTGTGCGCACCTAGGGGCACTAGATCAAGGAAAGTCGGTTCATGGTTACATATGTAGGCATAAAATTCCAGTGAACTCGTTACTTGGAACAGCATTAGTAGATATGTATGCAAAATGTGGTTGCATTGATGAGGCTCTATCTGTTTTTGGAAAGTTGCCCACCAAGGACGTCTTTACTTGGACTGCTATGATTAGTGGGTTGGCAATGGATGGGGATGCTTTAAAAGCTTTGAACTTCTTCTCAAGTATGTTACAGAGTGGGGTTCTACCTAATGAAGTAACCTTCATTGGTGTTCTTAGTGCTTGTTCTCATGGAGGTCTTGTAGATGAGGGACGTAAGCTTTTTGGTTCAATGAACCAGGTTTTTCATTTGGAGCCTACTGTAGACCACTACGGTTGTATGGTTGATTTACTTGGTAGAGCTGGGTACTTAGAAGAAGCAAGAAAAATGATTGAGGGGATGCCAATGTTGCCAACAGCTGGTGTATGGGGAGCTCTGCTTGGTGCCTGTGTGATTCATAAGAATTTTGAGCTAGGGGAACTTGTAGGAAATCATCTGATCAAGCTGCAGTCAAATCACAGTGGACGATACATACTTTTGTCAAACTTGTACTCGACATGGAAAAAATGGGAAATAGCTGCTGGCATAAGGAAGCTCATGAAAGGGAAACGTGTTGAAAAGATAACAGGGTATAGCTGGATAGAAGTCAATGGTGCAATTTTTGAGTTCGCTGCTTTTGGCAAATCACATTCTGAATCAGATAATATATATTTGATGCTGGACAACATGTTCGTCCAATTGAAACTCGCTGGTTATGTTCCAGATACTAACCTACTTGCGTTTGACATTGATGGAATCTGAGTATAATTATTCATCTCCCAAGCATGATGATTTTCTCATTGACAAGGATGGTCAGCTTTGAACTTTATTGCATACTCCAAATTCAATGCATCATGGTGTGTTGACTTCTTGCCGTATTGATTGAAGTGCTTGTAGATACTTGGAACCTTTGTCAGACAATTCTACAACTTATGCTTGGATCTTTGACCCTGTTTTTTTTTGGGTCAACTTTTTTCCCTCTTGAAGGTTGTATAATCCAACTCTCGATGCTATTGGAACAAGAATTTTGACCGTCCTTTTTCACTCAAGGCCTGAGTTGGTGAGAATCCTGATCCATATAACATTTTTAAATTTGTTGCACTTGCGTATAATTTCGTTTCTATCTCCTGGCCGGAAGAACAGAAGAAAAAGATTTAATTTCTATCAAACATGATATTACCATTCTTCTATTTTCTCTTTTTGACTTGTTGGAAACCAACTTTATCGTAGTTTGCATATTTTCTATTAACCTCTTCTTCTCAATAGAGACGAATGGTGCTTTCATAAATCAATTTAGATTTTAGTTAATGTGGCTACCCAAGCCACTAGCTAGGCTGGTTGCATATATCATGCACCTATTCATCATCTTACCTTTCCCTTCTGTTTCTGTCCATCAACGTAAGGCGGTCTTTTATATTCTTTGCCTAATATCTTGTTGGTCTTATATTAATTGCATGCCATAAATACATCACAAAGAGCTGAAAGCTACTGTTGACTGACTTTTCATGCTAAATAGACTGCAAATATAGAGCTGCAAGCTTCTATTTTCTACGCTACTAGATTATGAGGTGCCCGATTACGCTATCTTCCATGCGCACTTGTAAAACAGGTTGTTTGGACCAATGCTATTTCTTCAGGCATGCACTTGCAAAGTTTCAATGTATGTAACTTCAGTTATTGTTTCTAGAGTAGTTTGCATGTGGAATATATTTAATGATATATGAGGTACATGTGTTTTACATTTTCTATATGAATGATATTATTATTATTTTTGCATATATCGACAGTGTTGATGGAGATTTTTGGATCACCATCATTAGAGAGAAAATCACAATCACACACATAAACACATGATTTTGAGTGGTTCACCTATAATTAGGCTACATCCACTTTGGAGCTTTTGTGTTTTCTATTTCTATTTCTCTATGGAGGTTTACATATTGTTAAATTGAGAGAGAGGCTTGAGAGCCATTTGTAAAAGAGAGAGGCTTGAGAGCCTTTGTAAAAGAGAGAGCTTGGGAGATCACCTCCATTTTGTAGTCCAAGTAGTGGTAGGTAGTTTGCTTGATTGTAATCATACTGGTAGTTCGCATGGCGGCAGGGGCAAGGTATGGCAAGGGATGTCTAATAACTAAGTTGGGGGATCTTGCCTCAAAGGGTTGGTGAGGCCAATCTTGGTGTCAACAAACATCACAAACTATGACAATGAGATCAGGCCGTCTGGGTTTGGTCCTTCGGGCATTGGAAGATTGAGCAAATTTAGGTACCACGTATTATAATTTTTCTATACGAATATCTGTCTATTATTTTTGCCTATACCTAGCCTATACCTAACCAAAATACTTCCTAACTTCTTGCAAAAACGAATGAAAACCAATGTTCCTAACTGTGACAAACTTCCCCTGGAACCATTGGGCGTGTTCATGACCATTTGTTTTGCATGCACAGAGGTTTTGGTTGATCTTCACACAGAACCGCTGCGATCCACGGTGCAAGAGGAGGAGATTTCCGCTGCTCTCAAAGCTTCTGTTGATAGTTTGGACAGTTTCAGGCTCAGATGACAGATGATGCAGGCTATGATGTAGTACCGATACTGCCGCCCCAATGACATTCCAGATTACAGCCCTTTAGCAATATGCAAGTTTATTTGAATAATTTGTAGTTTTTAGATGATTTTGTTTTAATTTTTTTTACATGTGAACAATTTATATAGCCAAAATTATTCGCACTCCAAAATAGTCATTATGTACAAGTGCAATTCCTTTGTGTTTTTACAAGGAAGGAGTGCATGATAGAGTGCATGATGATTTTCTTAGAGTATTAGTAACAACTCCCTTTATGTAAATCATGTACTTTGTTTTGTGTATCGCGCCATATCTTTTTCTTTGCCAATTCAATACTAATTTGCTATAAAATAAAATAATATTTAATTATGTTAAAAAGTGCTAACGAAATATTTTAAAGTTCTTAGAGCAAGGACGTGTTATGTTGCTAAAGAATGAACAAAATTATTCTTATGTAACTGTCCTACATAATTGGAAAGGGATGCCTCCTCTTTTGTAAATGTTGTTGTTTGAAAGCCAATGCAATGCTTTTTGTCTCACATCGACAAAAACCCCATTTTTTAATAGGATTTTATAAGCAAAGTTCCTTACCTTTGTTGTTTATCAAGTAAGGCTTCGACAATAAGTGGTGGGTTTCTTGGGCTTGGCTATGGATTTGGCAATAAAATAAAAACTCATTAATCAAAAACTCCTACTTTTTGGTTTCCGATTCATGACATTTTTCATTCCTAATGAGTGCCACTTTTTCTTTTCTAAAATTTGTTGAGAGGGCAAAGCTGGGTTTTAAAAGTTGCAGAATCATTGTTGGGTGCAAGAAGTAGAATGTGGGATTCTAATTTTAATTTTTTAATTTTTTTTTTAAACAAGCGATATTGGTAAAAGAGAAATCCAACATAAGATCCCAGATGCATGAGTAAATACTTAACAACTTAAGCTATAAGTCCCTTATTAATATAATTTCCTTTTGAATTCATTTAGTTCGCAAAATGGACTTCTTAGAAACGAAACTCCCATAACTGGACACATCGACCTGTTACCGTACCTCGTATTAACAGGTTGATCCATTAGGTAATAAACTCAGCTGAAGCCCATATTTCCGGCCCATTCTGAACACCAAGCCCGAGCCGAATGGCTTTGCCAATCCAATTTCAAAACTGCAGCAGCGTTACAATGCGCTGAAGAGCGGGAAGAAGAAAACAGGAAAGGGACAATGAGAAGCGAGAAGACACTGAAACGGAAACCCAAAAAAATTCCCAAAAACTGTTCAAAGAACCAATTAATTAAAATGGAGGAGAGAATAAGACTAAGCTGTAAACATTGATTTTGTTTCCTAAAAAAGTATTTGGGTTTTGTAATACCAAGAAAGCAAGAGAGGCCAACACTTTGCTCAATATATTATCCTCCCGTCTCATCCACCGCTCTCTCTATTGGGCGTTCTTTCACATTGAATTTCTCTCTCTACACACCAGAGGTATGGGTTCTTCTTCTTCTTTTTCTTCTATGTATTTGTTGGGTTTGCTTCTTTTTTTTTTTCTCCCTCTTTTTAGTTTTTAGTTTTGTCTTTGGAAATTTTGGGTTTTGGGTTTTGATTTATTCGTTATTTGATCTATTTTGATGTATATTTAAAAAAAAAAAATCTGAAATATATGTGTGTGTGCTACGGCTATTGCTTTCATTGTATTATCTTATGTTAGTATGTTTGCCATGTTGGCTGATTGATTTTTGTATACAAAAGCAGAATTCAAACTAGAGAATATGTTTTTGGGGTAGAGGTGGTTTAAGTTTGTGAATTGTGTTTTTGACATGGTGGATATTTTCTTGTGGGGAAAAAGAGAAGGGGCCAAATCTTCTAGGGAATATACTTTTTTTTTTTTTTTACAATTTGAATGCATTCTGATGAATTTTTCTTCTCATGTTCAAGAACAAAAACGATGTAAAGATTTTTGTAAGTTCTTAGCAAAAAAGATAAAATAGTGTAAGTGATATTTTTTTAATTGTTAAGACCAATGTTTGAGACCCCTTTTTATTTTTCCTCAGTAACTAGATAACATCAGGGAAAATTTGTTTGTGAACTCAGAACTGGTTATCTCAAATTAAAATTTCTTTCTGAATGTTCAGGTTTTTGTTTCAAAACTGATAAATCAGCTTGTTAGCATGAGCATAGAAGGATCTAGTGAATTTCAACGGTGGAATGTGAGAGATGTTGCAATGGGAAGGATAATAGATTTGGACCTTAATTATCCGCCTCCTAATGAGAACATGGCTCTAACTGGTCCCTTGGGACTACAAGTTCAAGGAATTGGGCATTATCAAGGACAAGCTACAGCTGCTGCGGATTTTGTGGATGATGAAGTTGTTATAATCTCACCAAGGAAATTTGCAGAAGTATGATGTTTATCTCTAATATTGAATCTTATATGAAAAATGCTTAAAGTTGATTTTAATTTTCTGGTGTCAACTCGTTTTAGGCCACGAATAATTCACGACGAAATCCTTCTCGGAGAAGCCGTAGAGTCATAGAAGGTCTTTCTGAAGGTGCAGAATTCTATACCAGGCTCTCAGGTTTATTAATGTTTTCCCTTCTGCATGTACTTCTTACATTATCCAAGCATCAAATTCAGACAGTTGCGCTCCACTACTGATTAATTCTTTACATTCTCATCATCATGTTACTTGCAAGAGACCACAGCTTTGTAGGGGATTATGTGTCTCTGGAAATTATGTGTCTCTGGAATGTTATTTTTTCAATATATTTCTTGAGCTATGCCCCTCAGTTGGAACCATGCTTTTGATATTTACTTCTTTTTCAGTTAAGGGTCCACTCTACTTATGGACTCTTTAACATTAGTGTAGACTATTTAGTTCTTTTATTCTGTTAAAATAACAGTTCACGTAGGTAGTTAACTGTTATTCTGTTTTGGTCGTGTTACCGAGGTTCTCTGTTCAGTGTCTCTCTTGATAGTCTAAACTTTTTCATAGTTTAATTAAATACTTTAAGGTGAATTCTTTTCCTACCCATTTCTGCAATATTGAAGGATGTTGGATGTACAATGTAAATTATGTCTTATTGAAGTTTTCTTGGTTGCACTTGACCTTTTAATCTACTATCAACAGAATTGGCAAATTTCCGTGCCTTTAGCCAACTTGGAGCTTCCAACTGGGAGGTTTCGGTCAATGTTGATGTTCGTAACAAACCAGAGGATACTGTGCATAACAAACCAGAATATACTGTAAGAATCTTCCCTAAGTTCTTATGATGCTATTTCCTTGCTTTAGTATATCCACTTCTCTTCTCACTTTATATAGAGTAGCACATTGGCACTTCTGTTGCATATATGATACAGCTACTAAATAACATCACTAAGAACATACATATGTTTCATGTATAAAATAGCCAAAAAAAGAAGATTGAATTTGAACATCCTACTTTTCAACTGATCACATGTCAACCTTCAGTGGGGATGACACCTGATTTAATTTGAAGCTTCAAACAACTTTTTTTGAAGTTTAAATTACTTAAATGTTCATTTCTTATTTGTTTTTTCTTTTTTACCTTTGCATAGTAGTGGCATATAGTTGCAGATCTCTAACGTGTTTGGTTAGATGCCAGATTTTTTGTTTGGTAATTTGTCTTTGAAAGACAAGAAAGTGTTTATCGGACTCCTCCAAATTATTTTGAAGAACTTATCTGGCACTTCTTTTGACAGCTCATGTTGAAGTTATGAGTAGTATGCATGAAACTGTTAATTATGTATATCTAACCAGCAGATTGGTGCAAATTTCTGGAACTAAGCTTGGAAGTTTCTGATGGCAGGCAACTAACGTTCCCGTGCCTCCAGTTGTGCCCCAGAGTGAGTTCCTGCCAGAGGCACCTGGTTTCACTTGTGCCATCTGCATAGGCCAGTTGATTGAAGAAACATCGACAAAGTGTGGTCACATCTTCTGCAAGAAGTGCATTGAGAAAGCCATAGCTACTCAACACAAATGCCCTACCTGCAGGCATAAACTTAGAAAGCGAGATATCCTCAGGATCTACCTTCCAAACAGCAGTTAAATGGATTATGTACCTCCTAGTGGCGAAGTTCTAGAGGTGTTGTAACTGTGTTCTTGTTTTTCTCAGCTTTCTTGTATGATATAAAATTAATGATCAAAATGCTTTTATTTTCCTTTATTTTTCAGTAAACTAGAAAAAGCAATAATTTAGGTATCGTTTCCAATTTGTGAACTCATCATTTGCTTACTTGGTAGAAAATGCAATCGATGAAGATTTTGACTGCATGAAACTCTCTCTCTCTCTCTCTCTCTCTCTCTCTCTCTGTGCATATTTGTTCCAACTTATGAACTGCTCTTTTTCTTATTTGGTTGAAAATTCAGTAAATGAAGATTTTGAATTATCAAACTAGAAGCTTTTTCTGCATATTTGTTCATTCACTAGATCCTAGTGTTGGATATGAAGGAAGGTGACCATCAATCCTAGTTTAGTCTGATGCATATTATTGTCACTTTATGCAGGAAACGAAGCAGGTCATTAAACTGATAAGCTCCTAGGAAAGGTGTGAATTCTTAGGCATTGTGAGTTGATATGGCACACTGATTCAGCTGCCCCTTCTTATGGTAATTCTTCTGGCTGTTCCACAGCTGCGATCCTAGGCTTCCAGTGAAGAGAACATTGGTTTATCAAGTCTCTACAGTTACAGTTATTGAACTTTCTTTTAAAACTTGTATGGACTAGTTCAGTTGTTTTCCTCTCGGAGGGTCTTTTTTTGAGACTGACTTTTGAAATTAGGCTTCTAGATCTTGTTATCATTAGCTTCCTGACACAGTTTGGAGTTACAGGTAGAACAGTTGAGAAGGCTGAGACGAGTAGTCTTCCAACATTTTTAGACAATGTAATTGGCATTCAATATAAATGGAAATTCCCTTACTGTTGCAAGTTGCAATTGTGTCTCAATCTAGTCATACTTTTCTTCTCAATGTTACTTGAGATATTAAGTTTGAATGCCCGCTTCCTGCCAAAACTGAAAAAAAAAAAAAAAAAAAACCTGCAAGGGGTATTAAAATAAGAAAAAGAAGGAAATTTTCAAAAACTAAACCAATTTTGGCAGTTCAGTGATGTTTAACTAGTTTTTCTGAAGTCTTGTAGCTCAAGTGGTAAAGAGCATTTACCCATACACCTAAAGTCTTATGTTCGATTCCCACTCCCCAATATCACTTGTATAAAAAAAATATAAAATAAAAATTTATGGATCAAGTAGTGCTGGAACCCCACTTATTATTGATTTAAGATTGTATAAGAAATAGGGGATAAATTGGATAAAGAAAAAGCAAAATTGGATCAAAAGAAAGTTCGGCTTCTGGATTCTAAGTCCAACTGGTCGGCCCAAATTTCCACCCAAGCCCAAAAATTGGCAGATTTTTAAGTAAATTCTCTCTCTCTCTCTCTCTCTCTCTCTCTCTCTAATTTTGAATTTCGCTTGCTGCATTTCGGTGTACACAGTACACAGGGCGGGAGCAAAAGAGAGAGAAAAGAACATGGAAGAAGACCCAATTCCTTCTTCAGAACCACTCGACCTTAACACCATTCAGAGGTATCTGTCTGTGTATATTGGATTTACTTTTTTTGTTTATTTTCTGAATTATTGTTTATTTTGTGTTTAAATTTGAAGACAAGTGAGAGAGCTGGAAGAGATTATCGAAAGTTGTCGCCAAGACGATGCCTCAGAATTATCCCCTTCAGATTCTGATGATTTAATCAGAAACTGCGGTCTCCTCCTCCAGGTTTTCTTTGAAATTAATCCACTTTTTCGTCCAATTTGCACAATTCCTTGCATTTCCCTAACTCTCCATGTGAATGTGCAGAGCAGAGTTGAACAGATAGTATCAGAATGCTCTGATGTTGGTCTCCTAGAGGATCAAGAATTTGGTAACTTCTCCTTTAATCTCTCCGTCACTGTGTTTTTCTTTACTGGGCAATCGATTTTGCTAGTGGGTTTGTGACATTTAGTACTAGAACTTACTGCACTATGGGATTTGTCCAATTTTTGTTAGAAGCATACTTAGGACGTTTTGAGCAGGAGCTCAACTCTGTGGAGGCTGAGAGCACCAAGGTCTCAAATGAAATTGAGGGTCTCATTCGAACCCATGGGGAAGGTGAAGACTCAGTCTTTAGTGTTCCATGCCAATGTGCATTGATATTTAATGTATGATGTTTTTTTTCCCGACCTTTTCTTTTGTATATGCAGATTTTAATCGACTTGGCACTGATCTTGCACGGTTGAAATGTTCATTAGATTTTGTTGAAGAAAAGGTTGGTTTTCCGTTGGTGAAACAATATTAGTTTTTTTGGATCAGTTATCTGATGTATACACATGTTGTAATTTGTTTGATACAAATGGGTTTGAATTTAATTACAGTTATCTGATGTATACAAATTTTGTAATTTATCCCTTTATCCCTTTAATGTTACAGTTGTTGAAAGTTCCCAGATTTCCATGGTGTAGTAATCTGCACATTATGTGATCCCTTGTTGGTTGTTTCTATGTTCTTTTCATTTTCTCACTTTTGTTTGACTACCTCACCCCCCAGGTTGTATATGATATCTTTATTTCCATAAGTTGGGAATGTTTGAATTTTATTTGGAAATCACATATGAAATCTTTCAAGATAATAGATGTGTACCATTTGTAGGATCTGGAGAAAGCAAAACTGGGTGCAGATGTTGATTACCATAAATGTGGGAAAGATCTGTTGGATCCGATGAATGTGAATGCAGACAAGTTTGAGGTTTCATTCAAAATCATATTATCCAATACTGTTTGCTTCTAGGGTATTATATTAGTTAAGGCTGAAATAATACATACAGACATTTTGAGGGTCTTGATTCTTATGTAAGGAGTTAGCTTGTTAAAGAAATTTCCATAACCTTTTTACCGTTTTAAGATATCTTGTGTTTAACTTGCAGCTACTGGAACTTGAAAATCAGATTGAGAAGAACAACATAATTTTGAAGTCTTTACAGGATTTAGAATGTACACTTAAATGGTAATTATGCCACTTTGACCTTATTTTGTGTGTGTGTGTGTATTTCATTTAGCTTGTTATAGAGTTATTCTCTTATACTTTTAGTTTTTTTGTTTGATTGATGTAGGCTTGACAACACAGAACAGATTGAGGATGCAGTTACAGGTCTTAAGGTCATTGCTTTTGAGGGAAACTGCGTTAGGTTGTCACTTAGGACATACATTCCGAAGTTGGAAGACCCATTCTCCCCAAAAAAAGTTGGAGATGCCACTGAGCCATCTGAAGTATATCATGAGCTGCTAATTGAACTTCTGGAGGGGACTATGGGTTTAAGGAATGTTGAGGTATCAAAACATGATTATCTCAGGAAATCTTTCTTCATTGGTGTCATTGTTTAATAAAGCTTAGAATTAGAGGTATTACTATAACATCAAAGACAATATAGCACTCATGGGATGTGCCCATCTGTTGCTGAACCATGGTGGCAGGTGCTGGCCACTGTTGGCAGTGCCTACATGGCTTGGGCTGACATTGCAGTGCTCCACCCAAGGGTGATGCCATGCCAGCCCCTTCAATGCCCCTTCCAAAAAAAATAAAAAATTGTTCTCTCACGTAATTTCATAGAGGGATGAAATTGCAATTATGTTTCTTTTTCTTTTTTGCTTTGTCAAAGGTGGATGGGGTTAGTATTTTTTCATTGTGACATGACAATGAAGAAAGAAGTAAGCTCAACACCCTGTGCATCTTTTAAATGAGTTGGTACTGCTCTCGAATTTCTTATGAGCACTATACTCTGGATTTTTTAAATACATTGATGATGATATCTCATTTTTCCAGATTTTTCCAAATGATGTATACATAAACGATATTCTTGATGCTGCAAAGTCTTTGAGGTTTGTTTTTCCAGTACCCGTCTTATGATTTCTAAAATTTGTTTCTTTCTTTGTTGTTGTCTTCATGCTATTCCTTTGTTTTTGTTTTAAAAAAAATATTTCCTCTACTGCAATTGGTAGCGCCTCAATAATTAAAAGGCATTTAGCAAACAAATCCCTCTAAAATAAAGGACAGATTTCCATGATTGAATTCAGGACCTGGCAGACAGCAGAAACTATCGAGCCAATCACAACACACGCACACTTGCATTATCTAGTCATATTTTTAATAGGTTTTCTCTCTAAAGGTTTTTATTTTTTTAATCTTTGACATTTCTTTTGAATTATGTGCTCTCTCAACTTGATTCCTGTCATATGATCAGATAGTAGTTGTTTGTTTTTCTATCTTTCTATAATTGCTCAATTGGCTCATGTTCTTCTATCTGCTGAATATGGGCGTGAGTGCAGGGTTTATTTCAATATTCTTATGAATAATTATATACTTGGTGACCTTATTTCTGATTACTTTTCTACAAAAGGTGCTATTTATGAAAAACAAAACATATTCAGTATATTGTTTTATTGAGTTCATGAAATGCACTTTGCAGGAAATCTTCATTGCAGTGGTTTGTAACAAAAGTGCAAGACAGAATAGTTCTATGCACCATGAGGCGACTAGTGGTAAAAAATGCAAACAAATCAAGGTGAGACATTTTCCTTAGCAATTTTGGTGTATGCATTCATTATGCTCTTAAATATTTTCCAAGATAATTGTATTCCATATTTTTAATAATGATTCCAAATAGTATTATATAAGGGCTCATTACCAAAAGCGTAGTAAATCCAAATGTTTTCATTTGGAATGCATCAATCCGTGCAGACACTCATTGGAGTACTTGGATAAAGATGAGACAGTAGTGGCTCATGTGGTTGGAGGAGTTGATGCATTCATCAAGGTCCCTCAAGGTTGGCCATTGTTAAGTTCTCCATTGAAACTGATATACCTCAAGAGCTCTGATCAACATTCAAAGGGAATTTCTTTAAGTTTTCTGTGCAAGGTTCAGGTCAGTGTACACATCCTTATCTCTTACTAGTTTCCTTACGTCGGGGTGGATATATCTACTTTCAAATTCTCCTCTGTTGAAAGACTCATTTGGAATGC